GGGAGCTGTAATTTGTGTAGGTGGTTTAGTTACTGTTTTGATCATTATAGGTGGCTTGGTTGCTATTGTGGTCATTATGGGTGGCTTAGCTATTGCTGTGGTCATTATGGGTAGTTTGGCTATTATTGTATTGGTCATTGTAGGTGGCTTAGCTATTGTTGTGGTCATTCTGGGTGGTGTGGCTGCTACTATGGCTCTGATCACTTTGGGTAGTGTGGCTACTGCTGCTGTTATGGTCACTCTGGGTGGTGTGGCCACTGCTCTGGTATGGTGTTTTAATTTTATAGATTTATAAGGCATATGTGTATTCATGTTTTCATCTTGTCTTGTGTTACTACTCTGTAATACATAAAAAACATAACATTAGGTTTTGATAAATTTGTAAACTAAACTTCATATTGTAACTTATATTTTCTTAGGGACACTTCATTGAATTATGACCAAACTTGAAATAGATTCGACACCTTAATTTCTTTCATTTCTTTAATAACTTTGTCCCATTCAAGCTTTCACCTTCTTTTATGTTTTTTTTTTTTTTTAGTCCACCAAACATCTTTCTAGGAAATGGTAGGTCTATATCTTCATTTATGTGGTAGGCTAGAGCTTATCTCCAAGAATAGGTAGCGGCACACAACTATAGCATTTCTTATACATTTCTTTCTTATATATATGTGTAACATAGTCTTCAATTTTTTTCATTCTTAAAAATTATGACACATATGGCATGAAAACATGGTATCCCAATTAAATCTCATAACTTACATGTTTATTTTCTCCCACCCATGTCTACCACAAACCTATATTTACAACATTCAACCTCATATCCATCGCTACCATTCCATACAACATGAGAAAAAGCATTAAGTTCCTTATGCTTTTCTATTTCCCATTAATTCTAAAATAGACCAACTTAATCCATTTAACACATCTAGTCATATTGTCAATAATTCTTTGCATCACATAATGCCTAATTTCCTCAAATATTGAAATAATGAACATATGCCTAGCATGAATAATCCTAACATTAAATGCCTTAGCTAAATTGTTTTAAAATATCAAATAAGCATCTAGTACTAAAAAATGCCTTTTGACCAATGCTTAGGAATTTTTTATAAGATATCAGTTAATGCTATACCTTTCAATTCTCCAAGGTCTTTTACTCTTGTTTTGAAGTCAACCTCTATTGTATCTTTACTACACATCCAAAATTGCTTGTGAAAGTCACTATCTCTATGGGTTTTCTCCTAATTTGGAAACCAATGTCTTACACAGAATCTATTTTCAACTTTGGGAATAACAGAACTTATGGCATCACATGAACCCTATAATAATAAATGAAAAAAGTTAATTAAACATTTAAAAGTAACAAACCCTAAACTTTTAAAATATAAAATTGCATAATTATCATACATACCTTTTGCATGTCATTCATGATAGTGAATCTAACACCATCTTCCATTTGAAGATCAACTTTCAAGTTATCCTAAAACCATCCCCAAGTATGCTTATTCTCTACCTCCACAAGTGCCCAAGTAATATGATACATTTGATTATTGGCATCTATATGAATAGCAATCAAAAGTTTAGTTTTTAAAGGTCTCTTATGAAAAAATCCATCTACACATAACAAAGGCCTATAATATTTCTAGAACCCTTTCCCAAGTGCACTAAAATAAACATACAACCTCAAAAACCTTTATTTATGCTTTTGTGTAGGCATTTCAACCACCAAATCTATATGTTCATATGGATCTATCTTTTTCAGAGTAGCAACATAATCAAACAACCTTGAAAACTCATAATAATATTAGCTAGTAATTTTTTCTTGAACTCTTATCCTAGCACTCTTACAAACTTCTATTGTGATATTAGCATTTAACTCCTTTTTGGTAAGTTTTTTCATCTCAACCAATTGCAAGTCATGAAGAATCCTAAATTTGGCAAGAAAATGATCAGCTAACACCTTATAATCTACCTTTGAGTTTTTTAAGGTAGTAGTACACTGATGGTCATTTATCAATGTCTTCACCTTGAACAATCCATCATAGTTGTCTATCGTAGCATAAATGAGGAATGGATAGTTTCATGTTTACAAATAACCTTGACCCTATGTTTCTCATTCCTAAGGTATCTAAAATCAAACTTTTTTGTAATTGCATGTTTGGTCAATACATCATTAAATTACCTTGGACCATAAAAAATCATGCCAATCTCAAACCTAGGAACTCGATCTGAAAAGTCAAAGTTTTTTTTCTTACTTTTTTTACATGCAACATTCCCATCTTCACAACTCTCATAACTATATATGTATGAAGAGTCTATGTAATCTGTATCATTCTCTTATTTGTCCCAGCCCACTATTTTCACTTACTTCCTTCTGCTTTGCTTTCTTTTCTTGACCTTTTACAAAAGACCCTCAAAATCTATTTCTGGTGGGATGTCATTACTCTTTACTACCTTACTTTTCCTTTTTTCTCTAAACTTAGTGTAAGATGTTCTAATATCTTGTATTTTCTCATCATTAATATCCCAGCCCTACTCATATTATTCAAAAGGTTCTTTCTTATTATCTGAATTTTAACATTCATTTGCATTTTCATGTGAACCCTCAAATGTACCTACATCCAACACAATCACACGTATAAATGCATCTCCTAAATTACTATCATTATTAGCCCACCCACCTACATTATTATCATCTACCCTATTATTGTTTGTAGTCTTTTCACTTTCAATGTCCCCATTAGTTTCATCTTCCACGCTATATGCATCCGCTTCACTGTCCTTTCGAACCTCCTCATTATACTCTTGACTTAACAATAATGATACATCATCTACAAACTCAGGTATATCAACCCCATGTTCTATATATACATGTATCTCTCCCATTGCCCTTATATGATCTATCATCATACCAAATGATCCATCTTCAACATTAGACACTAGTGGCTAGTAATAAAATACAGTAGTAATACCATACCCAATCTCTTTAACCATATTACACAACACAGTGAATGAAATCACATCAAAATCTGCACTCCATACATTTATATACCCACCCACATAGCTTACTCTCAAATTTCCTATAAATTTTCCACCCAAATGCATTTGTAAAAGAAGCATCATAAAAGCCATTAGTTTAACTACATCAAAAGCAACAGAAATATAATAAACAAAACCTTTAACAGTATAATGAATATAATAATGCAGACAAATTAGGATCATATTGCAAAATCAAAACACACAATTCAACATGTATACAAAGATTGACCAAAAGAAAGTACTATGCCCAAATAAAAAGGTATACAAAAGTGAAATGTTGTAAACTCTTATTAAATAAAAAAGCATTTGAAATAAAAAAAAAAGTCACCATTTTCAACTCTATTATAACCCTAAACCAGAGAATAAAAAAAATCAACATACCTTAAAATTTTTTGTAACCCCCAATCGATTCTCACTTTGCTCCACAAAATTGGATCAAAATACTCTACAAATCTTTTCGTGCCAGTCAAGTCTCTTTGTGCCAATTGATGCCCCTGACTTGTCTTATTGTAATGAACCCAATACTTTGATTAGATAGTTTAATTGAATTTAACCTAAAACTTTTCAGTTTAACGTCTTTTCTATCATTTTCTTGTTTGATTATCAAAAGAACGATTAAAATTTTTATGCGAACACAAAAATGATTTGGAGGGTCAAATTAGGGTTTTTTTTTACAGTTTAAAGCTTTTGATTTTTTTTACTAATTTAGGGTTATTTTATTTAGGTTTAATGTTAAATATTTTTTGGCCACATAAGTCACATAAGCATGCTTACATGTCATTTTGTGCCCACATAACGTATTTTTATTGGCTAAAATATCCATATAAGCATTAAGGTTAACAGAATTAACTCTTGGATCAAATTGATATACAATTTCATAGTTTAAGTACCTATTTGGTAACTTTTTTAATTTAGGTACCAAATCCAACAAACCATTATAGTTCAAGGGCCATTTAGGACATTATCCCAAAATTTAACTAAGATGATGTGTGACTATACAATTAAAAAATTGTGTTAGTATATCTAATGTATACAATTTTTAAGTAAAAGGTAAGGCATGTCCCTTCATATGTCATATTTTAGGGTTTTTTATACAAATTGGAAGGCATAGCTCTAACTTAGGTTTGGATTATTAGGGTTTATTTATAAGCTGGGTTTAAATGTCTTGCCAATCTAAGGGTTCCAAATTGTTACTTACATTATTGTCCATTATAGACTAGTGAGACACCTTAACCTTTATCCATTACAAACTCAAACAGAAAGGATTTAACTTCAGTGAGAGTTTTTGTTAACTCAAACGAATGTTATCACCTCACGATAATGTATGTACTTGCTCCCTAAAAAGAAATGACAAAATTTAGGTCTAGACCTTATGCATGACTACATTTGTAGTATATGTGAAAGAACATGCTATCCTTTTTTATTCACAAATTTAACATCTAAAACCAAGTACTACACAACAAATAGATTAATACACGTAAAAATCAAAAGTTACAAAATAAACAAATAGATTAGTACACATAAAAATTATAAGTAATCACATAATAAAAATATTAAAATAAGGCTCACTACCTGAAAAATGTTTAATATTGACGGATTTTTACAAAACAAAAATTTTATAGGTAATTATTAATGGATTACTGATAATTTACTGATAGATTATAAAAAAAATTACTATGAATTTGCTGATGGAATACTAATGAAATTTACTAATGAAAAACAATCTATTAATGTTCCGTAAGTGATGTTAACTCAAAAAGTTAGCAAATTGATGCGGGATTTATCGATTGTAAAAATTCATTGATTATATGTGAAAATTTTATTAATGAATTATTGACGATTTTTTTTTCATCGACAAAAAATTTTAAAAAAAATTAAAAATCTTATTCAATTAAAAATAAATGTAATTAATTAAAAAGTTTGAAATATCAACAAAAATTTTGTCCATAATCCGTTGGTGAAAGCTATTAAAATCAAAATCCCCATTGTTTTTATTCCTCCCTAGGCAGAAACCCTAAACTTTTAAAAGCCCCTACAGACCCTCTCCGCTCTCCTCTCGCTGTACCCTCTCGTCGCCCATCCCGTCGCAGTGGCTATTCCACCGTGAAGCCGTGCTGCCATTCATATTCTACTTCTAGTCCTTATGCTTCATACTGTGGAATTGATGATACTGCTCAAAGGCTCTGTGATAGCCATTTTTTTGGTAAGCGACATTTCTGCATGGCTTCCCCATCTTAGATTTGAGGTTAATGTGGCAGTTTCATGACCATATTACAAAATATTAAGCAAGAATACTATCAATAAGTATGGTTTTGAAGTAGTGGCTTTGAGCTGAAACTACAGAGGGAACCATTTATTTATCATTTTTCTCAATTTGGTTGGATGCAAGGCTGTAGGTTTGTTTAATGTTTCATTTTCTTCTGCTTTAGTGGGTTAGGTAATTACTGAATGTGATGTGACAGAGAATGGCAAAGAAGTTCTTGGAGAAGAAGAATTTCCTGAAGTGAGTGTAGAGTTCCAGGTAAAATCTCTATTAAGATATATTCAAACATCATCTTTATATACGCTTTGATTTCTTGTTCATTTTAATGTATTTGCCAAACTGCTGTAACAACTTTGTTTCCAGGATACGTTTTTGGGCAACACAATTACTTGTTGCAGTTTTTCTGCATCCGGGAACAAATATAGCTAGTGCATCTGTGGCTGGCACTGTCAGGTATGCTCTTTAAAAGCAACTGATATAAACTTGTAAATATGTTCAATAGAGCATTTTGCTGCCTTGGGCAATCCTTACGTGCAGGTTTTTAAATTAATCTAGCCTGCCCAATAGTTAATGATCGTTAAATTTCAAAAAAGGAACAAAAAGGAGGGGAAAAATAAAAAGGAAAACTAGTTAATGATCCTTATAATCTGACTACTGACCAATACAGTTTAGATGGCTTACAGCTGTGGGCTGACCATGGTTCTCAACAAGTTGTGACTTCAGCAAAACACTTCTTACCAGAGCTCGAGATTTACTGCTATTTGCTTGTTCCCCTTTTTCTCACTGATCAGAAAAAAAAACAATGAGGTTTGATCCATTTATGCTGGTGAATTCTTCAGCTATTGTACAATGGGCTTTTACACAAAATATATTTTACTATTTTTTGTTATTGATATTACTTTATTATGTAGAAATAGAGAAAGTAGCATTTTCTCAAATAAATGAACTAGGATTTGTAAAACTTTGACGGGGTATTGAGCAATGATTCTGTGGGACGTCTTTTGGGTGGTTTGGGCTCTTAGATGACAATATCTATAATGTAGACGGAGTACTTCTGTGTATTTGAGGTCTTTATGTCTAGTTTGAAAGTTTGATTTTAGAATTGGGCAGCAGCATGTTTTCATGACAGTAATAATCTTGAATGTTATATTATGGCATGTTGGTATGGTAATTTTTGTTTCTTTAATTTCAACTTGGAAGCTTTTATTCCTAGTATTGCCTCTGAATTAATTATGATTGTAGGAAGATGAGCATGACATGGAAGTCAATACTGCAACATCCGCAGTTCAGACTCCAGCGAAACACTTGTTCCCAGAGCTCGAGATTTATTGCTATTTACATGTTCTCCTTTTTCTTACAGACCATAAAAAAAAAAAAATCTATAATGTAGACATAGGATTTCTGTATATTTGAGGTCTTTATGTATAGTTTGAAAGTTTGATTTTAGAATTGGGCAGCTGCATGTTTTCATGACTGTAATGATCTTGAATGTTATATTATTGCATGTTGGCATGGAAATTTTTGTTTCTTTAATTTCAACTTGGAAGCTTTTGTTCCTAGTATTGCCTCTGAATTAAATATTATTGTAGGAAGATGAGCATGACATGGAAGTCGATACTGCAACATTTACAGTTCAGATTCCAGCGAAGCACTTGTTCCCAGAGCTCGAGATTTATTGCTATTTGCTTGTTCTCCTTTTTCTTATTGACCAAAAAACAATCCACTTTGTTAAACTGCAGAGATTCTTGCTTTGTTTTCTTTCGGGCTAAAACTTGTTCCACAGCAAGTATTAATTGGCTCAAAACCCTAAACAGAAGAATTCCTGATGTCCTAACCTCAACATTTGCTTCTATTACTCATATAGCTATGAGCTCACTCCCAAATTCGTGGGTAAGATATTCATAGCCAGCTGTCTTCTCTGTGGTTCCTGCTCTGTATGCGTGCTTACATGTGTAAATATATAAATCATCCTTGTCAACATGTAACTTTCGGTAAAGCGGAGGAAGCTGAATAAGAGCCTAGTCATTTATCTAACTCCTTTGTGTACTGGTACTTGTGTTACGGACCTAAAGAAGAGTTTTGAATCCCACATCGAATATAAAAGGAGAGTCACTGGGGTATAAAAGGGTTTACACTATCTCTTCTTTATGAGGCGTTTTTTGTAAGACAAAATCTTGAGGTCAGGGGGGCCAGAGCAGACAATTCCTCACAAGGGTGTGAACTGTGGCAGGTAGGTTGATTTGGAACGTCGGATGAGTGGATGCTCGGGTTCCGGAGTTGCGCGACCGAGCTGCGCGGGTTCGGAGCTTAAGTTTCGACCCGTGACAAGTGGTATTAGAGCCAATCCTAAACCGTTCGATTCACGCCAAGCCCTTCGAGGGAGGTAGCCAGCCTCCAGAATCCCACATCGAATATAAAAGTAAAGTCATTGGGGTATAAAAGGGTTCACACCATCTCTTTCGAGCGGACAATACCTCAGAAAGGTGTGAACCGTAGCAAGTAGGGTGATCTGGGACTCCGGATGAGTGAATGCGCGGGTCTCGGAGTCACACGGGTTCAGAGCTTAAGTCTCAATCTATGACACTTGCAGCTACCTCTTTGTATCGAATTGCTACACTACACCATGATGAGCTTGGTCAGGTTTGTTATCAAACAATGTTTTTTAGATGGTAAGAAATATTAGGAGCTAATGCATAATATGCTGGCATAATACAGGAAACACTTCTAAACTTGTTGATGCGTAATTACCTCCATTATAACCTCTATGATCAAGCAAAGAAGTTGAGGTCTAAGGCAACACGATCTGAAGCACACTCAAACCAGCAGGTATGCAAGTTATTTAATTTCACTTTGAATACTTGTATTACTGACAAAATGTCATTAGGACTGGATTACATGACATCAGTATCCCTTAGTCACGCATATCACTGGCCGAAATTGCTGAAAAATTGAGGTTGAACTCTGAACCTCTAGTGACAGATGCTGAAAGCATTGTATCGAAGGCTATATATGATGGTGCCATAGATGCTACATTGGATCAGTAAATGGTTGGATGGTGTCAAAGAGACTGTTGATATTTATTCTAGCAATGAGCTTCAAATAGCCTTCCATACCAGGATTGCTTTCTGCCTTAATGTGCACAACGAAGCAATTCGAGCCTTGTTTTATCCACCAAATGCACACAAGGAGAAGGAAAGTGCAGAAAAATGGAGAGAGATGCAACGGCAAGAACAGGAACTTGAAGTTGCTGAGGAGGATGATGATGATTTTTAAGGATTTTGCCTTTGTGATTACGAATTGCAGCATTATCTAGACCTTTTTATTGTTTCTCGTTTGGAAGGCTGGTTCATTCTTTTCAATTTTATGAATACTATCCGTTTTTACTTGGATGAATTTCAGTCGTGTTGTTATTAATACAAAATTTTATGGATGCTATGGATGTTAACTTTATAATATAAATTTGATCTTTTAATGAATAATAATAAACAAATAATCAACTTTTAAAATAATTATATATGTTTTATTTTTTAAAAATAATTATAAACAAAATTAATTAAATTATCGATAAAATTATAATTTTATCCATAGAATTTTAGTTTATCAATGGAAATAAAAAATTATTGATGAAATATCAATGAATTTTACCACACTCATTGATGGATTATTAACGGATTATTGATATTTTTACTTACAAATTTTATTAATGGATTATCGATTGAATTACTGATGGAATTATTACTTACATAATTTACCAACAAAAAATTTTGTTGGTAATTACTATTCAATTTTATGCATTATTGATAGATTAGTATTATCGACTTGTTTATCTTTAATGAAAAATTTCGTCAATAATATTATTATCGCCAAAATTGAAACTACTACTGATAAAAATTTCGTTTGTAAAAATAATTTTTCTAATAATGGCTTAAGATAATATATAATTAACAATTTACTTGACTCTATTGTATTTCATATAAAGTCGTCAAACTGTCATAGCATTCAAATTTGATAATTTATCCATTAAATACAAAAATATAAAGTTGTCACTAATTTTTTTTATTTAAGTATGATTGATTAGTTATATGAATCTATCTCTTTTAAAGTTATCCTAAGCTTGACTAAGAATTTATAAAATGAATAAATTCTGATTTATATCAATAAAATTAGGCTTAAGAGTCAATTACGGGTAGAAAAGATTTTAGCACCTTACAACGTCCACAATTGGTACTAAATTAGTTTAATATTATCTTATTTAACCCTTTGTTTAAATGGTCTTTTATCTCTTATTTATTGATTTTTATATTTAAATACTAGAAAAAAATTTTAAGCATTCATCAAAAAAAATTTTTCTCATCTCAAGAATATTCAAGATAAATTATTTGTTTACTTGAAGAGATTTCATCATTGAATTTATTAAATATCATATAACAAAAAAACCAATTTATTCTCCTTTATTTATTTACAAATATTAATTAAAAATAATGATGCAAACATATTTACAACTTTCTAATCATAAAATAATATATTTACACTTTTCTAAAAAATTCAATTCAATTTTTTTTCATCAATTAAATCAATAAATCAATAGGTAAAAAAATTAAAATAAAATAAATAATGAATAAATAAATATGTAAAAAAAATAGCAAATCCAAATAATTTCATAAATGAATTATTATCACAAATTTTATCCCAAGTCATATTAAAAAACAAATAAATATAATATCATAATAAATAAAAATAAAAAAATTATACCTAACTAATGCTTTTGGACCAACTCAAAATAAAACCTATTATCAAAAAAATTTTTGTTTGACTCTATTTGCTTTAATATTATTTATATACTGACTTTTTTTTTTTTTGGCTCTGTGATTCTTTTCTATTGTTGTTGATTTCAATTACTTGTTATGTCGTTGAATTGGCGATTGTTCTTACGATCTCCCCTTGCAATTACTTAATGATTTTTCTTCTCACTTTACCCAATAACCTTTCTCTCAAAATTAAAGTTTTGTGGTACTTGATGATCGTTAATTATGTTGCTTTACATTTTTCTAAGTTTGGAATTAAACTATTATTATAAGAATTAAATCTCTTTTTAATTTGAAATATTTTAATATCAACAAAATTTATTAAGATCCTATTAATTTTTTTTTATAGAAACTTAATTCTAAAAATTTATTAAAATCAAACTCAATTTTAAAATTTTAAATTTAAATAAAATCACAATCTGTTAAAAAAATTAAAATTTATGTTTTTTTACCTTAAAAAAAAATAAAGAACACTTTTAAATTTGAGCTTAAAAAATTATTTTAAAAATTTAATATCAAAATGTAATTTAAGACCTAATAATATATATATAAAAAAAAAACCCGTGTTTACACATTTAATTTATTTTAAACTAAAGAATTTAGCTTAAGTATGGCGGGGAAGGGCTTTTCCTAACATATAATTTCAACTCATATGTGTCCTACAATAGTGACGGATTAAATCTGACTACACGTATTGCACATTGGCAGCCATCCCGAGTGCTTTTGGCCCTGCCTGATCTCACTTGCACACAACGTAACTCAAAATAAAAAATAAAAACTAATTCAAGGGACTTTTAAATACATCACCAAATTTTTTCTATGCGCTCTCAAATTTTATTTTTCAAAATCACCAACATACCAAATTTTAATTTTAACTTTTTGTAAATGACAATAATATTCTTAATACTTTATACACTAAAAAATCATCTATATTTCTCGAAATAAATTTTCAAATATTATAATATATTTTTAAAAATTTATTTTTGAGAAAATAATATAATTTTCAAAAATGCATTATCGAAAACAAAAAATATCTTTTGAAAATCCATTTCAAGACTTATATTACTTTCTCAAAAATAAAATTTTGAAAGTCATGATGTATTTTCTAAAATTCGTTTTCGAGAATACATAAAAATTTTCTTTAAATATATGTTTAATTATAAACTTTTGATAATGAAAACATTAAAACTTTTAATTTTTGGGTCACTAGAAAATATCATCAATAGATTGATAAATTCGACAGTAAAAATTAGTGAATGAAAAATTAAATACTGTCAAATTTATCAGTATACTTATGATATTGTCAAAGATAATATTTTATAAGATGTTCAAGTTTAGACTAACATGTATACACACATAAAAATCATCGATGTATTCATTCTTATTTGATTATATATGCAAATGAAAAAGATCAAGTTCTCAAATATGCATATAATAAAAATGTTTTTGTCCTAAGCCCAAAAAGTCAAGAAAACTATTTCAATTTATTCCTTACATATTGAAAACATTGATTTTAATTTTATTCGCACACATAATTAAGTAAATAAATTCATAAGCGCATGATTAAAATTTATAATTAAAAATAAAATCAAAATTTTCGAATATAGAGATACAAAAGACTTCATATTTTTTTGAATATCTATTTTTTAAAAAACTCAAGATTTTTAAAAAATGAATATTCAAAAAGCTCAATTTCAAAAAGTGAAGACAAAAAAAAAAAAGAATAGGAATGAAAAATAAAAAGATTAGGGATGGAATGTATTTAGTAAAAATTAAAAAATAAATTTTAAATTTGAAATATACATAAAAATAGAATATATTTAATATTTAATGGGATACGCTTAAAATTCCCCCTAATTCAATCGCAATAACATAGACATGCAGCAGCTCTCGGCACACTAGTTTTAAAACCAAATCCCTTAAAAACTCAATATTGGACGGCAACATAAAGCTTTTATCGTTAAACAAAAAATATAAAAGGTTTGTAAAAACATGACACCTAAGCAACCTATTAGAAACAACTACATTCGGCATTAATTTTTTTATACTGTTTGTAGTACTGATTTGTATCCAAATTTGTTGATCAGTTGATTAATAAAAAAAAATCAAATTAAAAAATGGAAGGATAAGAACAAACAATTAAATAGAAGGCAAGACCGTCAAGAAAATTTTCAACAAAGTTAGATACTTTTATTAAAGGAGTTATACTAACAACCCTCCTTCGGAAACACACAAAACAGGAACAATAAAAATACATAAAAGAAAGGAGTCGATCGAAAAACATAGTTAACATGTTCAGGATTGAAGAACTTAAGTCAATTACAACTCAGACCAAGCTTCCTCCTGCTCCTGCTGTTCCTCTTCCACCACTGACACCAAGTACGACTTGTTGTCGGTATTCCTCACAGAGCAATTGGCACGAATTTCCCCGCTGTTGCCAGTCAACGCACCCAACTGCCCCATCTTTATCATTGCCTGCACAAACTTCTCAAAGAAGAGAGTCTCGTTAATAGCAAAGCTAGTAACAATGTCCTTTGTCCTGCTATCAGTGTACAAGTCTTGGTCCGAGGTGAATAGACCCTGGCGGTTCATGAGATCAACATAATATTTATTATCGAATTTGTCAGGGCTCCTTATATCTAACACTGTGGTGTTTGTTGAATTTGCTGTAGGACAAATTCCCTTGAGGTTATTGGCAAAGGTTTTGTCCATGGTAGGGTCTTGAGTAGGATAAAGGCGGTCGGTGAAAGAGGGGCAATGGCTAAGGCCAATAGTGTGGCCACCAGAGAGAGCTACGACATCAGTCGGGTCAAAATTTTTGGTAGCGAGACTGGCAAGGATGGTGCTGGCATCGCTGGAGGGTGATGGTAGGTTCTCCAATGTTACATTTGTTGTGGCAAAAGTCAGTCCATCTCTTCTTCCCAGTGGCACATCATAGTCCGGGCCTCCTGACTGCAGCAGTGAAGAAAAATGAGAATTGATTGGCATTGGATTAATTCAATATTATTTCAACTCCATGAAAATTCATTGCAATGAGATAATATGTTTAACTTTTTAAAAGTAAAGTGATCTCTAATATACTAGGAGCTGGTGAGTTTCATGGAACTTCCACATAGCAAATACTGTCAAAGAAGAATTGTTCTATGATATCATATTCATACGAGGAGAATGTATTAAAAAAAATTTGAAGACTCATAATAACATACAAGTCGTATGCCATGAAATGGATTGATATACAAAAATTGAATCAGTCCATGGTACTTTAGGGGAATTGAAATCAACCACTACCTTACCTAACACCAATTATATATATATATATATATATATATAAAACAAACAGTAGTGTCCAAGAATTATTTTTTTATTTGACCAAGATGAATTGTTTCATGTTAACACACGTTTTTTCTATTAATAATAATTGATTGATATTGCATCTCAACATTTGATTTAAGATATAAGTATCCTTACTAGTGGGATGGTGATGTTGTAAAAATGGGATAATTTTATCCACTAAAATTTATAATTCTTCAATAATGCATATATTAGTATAGGATAAATTAGAAATTAATCTCATTACAATAAAAATTGAGATAAATTGACCAAAACAAAAATTTAAGAATCAATAATAATATAGTAAAATAATTTGGTGTCAATATATAGTTAGTTAAAATAGAGATCAAGAAAGAGTTGTTAAGACAAGGAAATATTAATGTTATTTAGACACTAGTTATTTTTTTATATTAAAACTAGTTTTGATTTAACCAATTGTGACTGCAACTATCAACTAGACAAACCAATAAAACAATGAATAGCATATAGTTAGATAAATCAAACATAAAATTAGACCAAATACATATATAATGAGACCTAACTTAGAGAACTTAACGTTCCAAGATTTTCTCATAGTTACTAAGTCAAAGTTTAATTGGTAGTATACATAAAACCTTTTAGCAATGAAAAGAGGTAATAAAATTGTTATTTAAACTATAAGAGATAGCTTTATGAATAATTATTTGATTATATATATTGAAGAAATGCATTTGATATATTAATGATGGACTTCTAAAATATGAAAACTCTTCACAATAATTGTAAAAAAATCTTTATATTGAAGATTTCTTTTTGGATTATTATTCTCTATATCGATAATCAATTTTTAAACTTCGCAAATAAAATTAGATAGTGGTTAAATGTTTATTTAATAACTAAATAATTTATTATTTTCTAAATATATCTTAATAGTTACACATTAACACACAATTTCATTTCTGAAATTTAAGACTCCACTGTTATACAAGATAGTAATTTTTTTTTTTTTGTAATTTCTATTTAATTTTTGCAATGACATTGTTATTATTTGAATATTTTCTATGAAAATTTTATATTAATATATTTTTATATTTTTAAAAGTAATAATCTTTAGTCTATTTTTTTATGTTTTTTTTTTTTAGTTTCTTCGATTAAGAAATAAAAAGTAATAAATGATTGAAAAAGAAAAAGAATATTATGTGTTTGAAAAAAAAAAAAAAAAGAAGATAATTTTAAGAGATTCAACACAAAAAAGTAGATTAAAAAAAAGAGAAGAAATGTAATTACTTTTTAAACTCACTTAATAACAGGCTACGCCACTGTCCCTTACTTAAAATGTTCCATTTTGATCTACCTAAAAAGTTCAATCCAGATCTCTGCTTTCACCAAAAAAAATAAATAAAATAAAAGGCCATTAACAGGTACTAGTTTTTAATTCTAACTCTTGTATTTATTGAATTTCATCCTCTCCTTTTCCAGGTAAAATGACTTGGTCACAGCAATTACCACCATTAATAAGTTCCGAGGCTCAAGGGTAAAGAAATCAAGAAAAGGACCCACGGACAACTAACTTTCAACTAGCTACCAAAGCTTTAATAAGTTTAGACTTTATGGTACCAAAAAATTGACTCTTGCTCCATTTGAAGAGAAAAACTTAGCAAGCAGTGTTCCACACACAACCTTTTAAGTTCTAACTACCACTTTTGAAGCACAACCATAAGTCAATAGTTTGAAATACTACTTTTTATCATATTAAATTATAATTGTTACCCCTTTTGGATATATAATAACAGATTAAGTAATTTTAAAAGCCCTAATTTGTCAAATCTTAATTTGTAAGGCAAAAATCTGAAAGTGCAATAGAAAACATTACACTATATATCAATACTTGAGTTGCTCAAACTCGGGATGAGTGTGAAATATGAGTATATATTCAATACGAATATGTTTAATTTTTAAAATTTTTCATTTTTTATACTCATGTTGATTGGATATGTGTCCAACACTTATAAAAAAGTAGGTAATTAATTAAGAAATTAGTTGAGTGATTACCAGGCAAACAGAGTCACGAGCAGCAATAGCAACGATATCAGCACAAGAGACCACTCTTCCACACTCCTCGTCGACAAGATCACGCAGGTCATTGATGATCTCGAATGCCTTGGCTCTCAAGGTCAGGTTCGGGGGAGCATCCTGCTCGCTTGGCCCACTTGCTGATCCATCCAGCAGCACCGATGCATCACATCCCTGCAATTTTTTAATATATTAATATTAACGCATCATGACCTGACCTGATCATATTAAACTCTCCTTAAAAAATTGACCAACTAGCTTGGCCACAACAAAGTGTCTTTTCATAGAAACCCAGAAAACAAATGAAGCAGATGAAGATATTTTGATTAATTCTTGTTCGTGAAAACTGAAAAGAGATGTATTTGAGGCAGTTTAATTCAAAACCCAGAAAAGTTTTCTCTTCATACTATAAGAAATAATTGCTTCCATGAAATTGGGTTTAGTTTCAGACAAGTGAAAGATGTCGCAACTTGGATATACAGTAAAGCAAACAGTGATCAAGGTTCAGACTGCTCTTAGAAGACGAATCCGTACTGTTCTTAGCCAAAGGGACATCCTTAGAAAAGCAATTACTATTACGTGGTACTATAAGGTACCTGAACAAAGCAGTCATGGAAATGAAGACGGAGCAAGCCAGCAGCTTGGCCAATGTCGTCCTTGAAGACCTTCTTCAGTTGTTTTCTGATAATGGATTCAACTTTGGGACAAGAAGATTTGTAGAAAGACAAAGAGAGACCACTCACTATAGGAGCATAGCTGTGTGCCTCTGAGATAGAAAAGTAAGGAGCAAGAAAAATAGACGAGATCAAAATGACAGCTGTGAAAGATGTAGCTTTAGCCATGGCTTCTTCTTGTTTCTTGTATCTAAGGTAAAGCAGAACAGAGTCTTATTTATAGGCTGATCAAGTCATTCTTTAAGATTTAATTCACAATATTCTTCCTCTTAACTTTATTTTTTCTTTTTCATTTTTCTGTTTTTTTTTTAAACTTTTTTATTAAAATTTATAGTTATGAGTAATTAATGAATAAATGTTATACATAGTCAATAAATTATATAATTATATTTTTTAATTTTAAATATATTTTTAAAATTAATTATATTTATATAATTATTGATAATATATACCGTTTTTATATTGATAATATATTAAATATAAAAATTTATTTGTAATAATAGAGTTTTTTATTTTACAAACAAATATTATATTTTTAATTAATTTTTTTATTTTTAATATATTCTAAAAAATATATTACTTTATTAAGTTTTTAATTATAAAACTTTACTTTCAATGTGTTTTGATAATATTTTCAAATATAAACTGTTTTTATAATGTAATTATAAAAACAAAGTGACAAAGTGCTTTAGACTTTTGAGACATAAGGAAAATAAATAATGAAATTGGAACTGGCGTGTGGTGAAAACACCCCCAGCTCTATTGTGTTCACATGTCATCAAATTGAAACTTGTTGGGATGCTGAGAGCGAGGCATGCCTTATCCAATAGTGGCGCTAGATGCCTTATCACCAAATAACATTTTTTTACGGTCATAAAAATATCTAAGTACAATTACGGTGACCTTGCTTCTATTTTAATTTTTATTATTATTATTATTATTATTATTATTATTATTATTATTATTTGACTATGATTAATGAGATATAATTAATAATGATAAGATTAAAAAAAATCAAAATCTTACAAATGAAAATGTTAAACTTATTTAATTATAATATTTTATATTAAAATTATTTTCATATAAATTTAATATAAAAGATATTCAAATAAATATCTTAAATAAACATAAAAATAAATTTAATTATAAAAAATTAAATTAAGTGATCAAATGAAAAATATATATAACTATTAATTATAAAAGGAACAAACCTACTCATAAAATCTTTAACTCTAAATTGTAATACGTAAAATATCTATTTTACCTCAAATTTTTTTCTAAGTAAATGTGCTATTATAGTAAATTATATAAATAAATTTTATTTTATATTAGACTAGAAAATTTGCTCGATTACACCCAAAAAATTATAAAAATAATAAAAAATTTTAATACATACAAAATATAATAAAATTTTAAAAATTAAATCTAATATTTAAAATATAGTGATTATTGTTTTTGTTATTGACTTTACATGCTAGGTTAGGAGTATTGTGTTTTTTTTTTAATATTTGATTAATTCTATGATACTTTCACTTTATGGTGCATTATAAACCTTTTTGTGAAAACAAAAAAAGAAAAAGCACAAAATTATAAATTTTAATGAAATAATTTTGATTTTTTATGTTTTTGTATTTCTTCATATTATTATATATATTTTTAAGATTTTAATTTTTTATTTATTTTAAATAATGAATGAAAATCTTTATGTTTTGATCTTTTCTTTCCTTTTCAGCACTTAAATTGGATTATCCATATTTTAGGATAAATTTAATTGTATTTATTAGTATTATTATTGATTATTAATTTATCAATGATCATTGATTATTGATATTTTATATATTTTTATTTTTATAATTTTTCATGAAAAGATTTATTTAGAAAAATTAAACATAAAATTAAAAGAGATAAAATGAAACAAAAATCTCAGTTATCCTTTTTTTCTTTTATTTTTTCTTTTCTTTCCTTTTTGTGAAAAATATTTTATAAAAAATGAAGGGAAAAATTAATAAGAGAAAATTTATATTAATTATAAAAATACAAACCTACACATAAAATATTTAATTGTATTTATGTATGAAAATATAAAAAAAAATCAATTACAACATTTTTGAAATTCTTATTTTAAGAGTTTTAAAATTAAAAATATCTTTTACTATTTAATTTAATTTAGTGAATAATAAGTAAATTGATATGTTTTAGGAAGTTTTCTAAAAAATAAATTTTCTTTCTTTTTGTATTAAGATTTTGATTTTTTATGTTTTTCTTTTTAAAAAGAAAATACCAAAAAAAAATAGAGGTGATAATCTCATTCAATTAGACTTTCATTTAACCCAAAATATTATTTGAAAAATTATTTTTATATTTACAAAATGATGTATTTTGACCTTTAACTAAATTAAAAAATATAAAAATTTAATTGCTTGACAAATTTCAAGTAATGAGGCCTTCAAGTAAGATCAATGAATAGAAAAATTAAAAAGGCTTAGTATAAATTCTAATAAAATATATAATTTATTAAAATTTATAACTTATAATAAAAGCAATCCCTAGATTGCAATTTATTTTACACATAAGGGATATCTTAAAAAAAAATTAAAGGGTAAACGTTGGAAATGGAACAAGAGGAGAAGCTTCTAGATTAAAAAACAAACCAGAAACTTTTACATCTAACAACTGAAAAAATTAAAAAAGAAAAAAAGAAAGAAGAAGAGAAAGAAAAAGGGAAAAAGAAGAAGCAAGCTTAGGTTTTGAAGGGACTAACGCATGCTGCTACTTCTTCAATGGCATTGATTTTATTGTTGTCTCTATGGCTAAAATTGCCTTCTTTTAGAGTTTTTCTTGCCACTCCCAAAGGTTTAGCCATTGGTTTTCAGTCTCTCAATATGTGGATTTCCTTTAACCAATCTTTTGTCAATTTCACAACTTCTGACAAAGAATCTATAAGCTGAAATTCTAATGACTTTTTATTACTCAAAATTTTTTTAATTCAAATTCTTTTTCCTTTTTTTTTTTTTTGTTGTTGTAGGTTTGTTTAATTTTTTTTTCATTGACTTTATTTTAAGCTTTGAGGATTCTGATTATGAGGTTTTTCATATTGGCATATTAGGTATATTAAGAGCAAACACTTTCAACTATAAATGCAAGATGAATATTTTGTCCGATATCTATAAACAAAATCCCAAATTTCATTTTCTGTTGTTCACTCCAAAATTTACTTGGTTAGTTCTAATTTTTGCAATTTTCATTTTTGTTATTATTTTTTTACTAACTTGAATATTATAATTATGAAGGTGCTTCTTATAATTAATTTTGATAACATTTTGTTTATTGCTTTAAACATGTTTGAATAAATGTCAATGTGGAAGGATTGCATAAGAGCTAAATCTTTTGTTAGTTTATTTTACGATTGTTATCTGCCACTGGTTTCTGTTAAAGGTGAATATCTTGATCACTCTATTTTGTTGACTAACTATAATGCAACGTTGGATTTATTTCACCTGTGCTGTTTTATTTAAATTTTTGGATGAAGTATAAACATTGGTCAGTGAGCAATCTTTGATTTCATTACAACAGGTTGTCGTGATTGGGTTTTGCATTAAAGTGTTCTCTCTATTGCAAGTTCTATTTTAGTTCTTAAAGCCGATACTATTATTGCCTTTTATGGGATTCTTTCACCTAAACTTGCAGATCTTTCCCAGGCCAAGGCCTTTGTTCAAGCTTGGGTGAACATGATAACTTTGTTGGATTTTCAGATATGATGATATGGTAAAATTTTTTTATTCTCTCAACTTTAAATTTTATTAGTTGTTTCCCATTGTATCTTATAATTAGTTTCATGTTAGTACTAAGTTTTTGAAGTTACTACATTAAAAATGGCCCTTAAGTTGTTTTTTTTTAATACTTAAGGTTTCAGGATTTGAATTCTGATCACTGTAACAAAGAGTCCAACATTCTTTTGAGATTTTGCATATATAATATATATTATATTATATATGTATGTGTTGGCAAATCGAAGGTTGGCTACATCTATCAACTCTATGTTCTCGAACATCGTAGGGGCTTATATATGTTGAATGCACTATAAGGCTGGGGTATACACCTTCCTAACATCAATTGCTTTTGGGAAAGTTAGTAGCGCTTTAGGTCCTAAAAGTAGTATTAGAGCCAAAGTCACGAGTTCAAATCCCAATGGTGTTGCTGGGGGGAGATTATTGGTAGATCAAAGATTGGTCGCTTCTATCAACTTCATGTTCTTAAACACCGTGGGCGCTTGTGTGTGCTGAATGCACTATAAAGTTAGGGTATGCGTCTTCATAACAATCATTCCTTTTGAGAGAGTTGGTGGCACATTATTAATCTTGAATTGTTCTTTATTTAGAAATGACAAAATATTAAGCTAAATAGGCTTGATCAAGATTTTGAAAAAGATTTATTTAGTACAAGTTCTTAATTTTTATTATTTTGATATTAAATAAATGATATGATTTTCAAAGTTTAAACAAACCTTTCTTTATGTTTTCTTGTTTCTCAAATAAAAAGTATCTTTAAACTTTATTTATTTAAGTTTAAATGAAAGTCCAATTGTTGTTTTCAAAGTAAACTTATTGGCTTTGAGAAATATATTAACTTAAGAAAGTTGTTTTACAAGAATAAAGTTTTTTAACATTAAATTAATTTTATTTTTTTGTATTAATTCACAGTTTTAATATTTGAATTTTACATGATTGGAAAGCTCTTTGAGTCTACTTTCTAATGGATCAAACAAAATCTAAATCTAAATTTTCTAAGAAAAAATTTTAAATTTTTACTAGACACACTAGACATTTACAGTTGTCTAAAAATTGCATAAATGGTAGATTTGAAAATTCACTATAATTTGTATACAATGAATTAGGTGATGAATTTTATGTGATAGAAAGTCCTTTAAGTCTAGTTTCTAAATCTTCAAATAGTATTTGATTTTGAATTGTATAACTCAACACATGATCAAATAAGTGAATGGAGTGCAAAATAAAAAACAACCAACTAGCTTGATCTGGTTGATCCCCTCCTTATATGAATTGATTGGTTTAAGACAGAGTCAATCCTTTCATGAAGGATTGATTAGTTTTTTACATAGAATGAAACTTTTCTCCATACTTTGAAAAGGGATTAATCACTTAAATTAGGGGATCGATCACTTGAAAAAGGGATCGATTGATACCACTGATGGATCACTTGGTTG